AAGCACTTTAGGGGTTCTAGGAGAGTGCGCTAAAGAGGGAACCAATAGACACAAATTTCTTTTGTTATTAAGTGTCAAAAGACACTTAAATTTCTTTTGTTGTTTTTTTAAGCTTATAATCTTATGTGAGCTGTGTTTTTGCTCTATTTTGGTCAACTGAGAAATCTTTTTTCTTGTGTTTCAAAGAGAAGCAGTATTTATGAATTCTTATTCAAAAAGCTCTGAGTTCAAATTCTTTTTTTGGAGGGGGAGGTCAGAGTATGTGACTTTTTATTCATTTCCTTTATTTCCTTGAAAGAGCAAAGGAAGTTACGTAAATGATGATTGGTGTTCTAGAAAGAATTGAATATATAGCTGTTTATAATTTATTGATATATCAGAGATGTTTGCAGGCGGGAGCTGACATTTAGGCAAAAATTAATGATTCTAAGCAGAGCTGGAAAACCTAGTATAATATCTTCATCATCCGGATTCAAAGTAGGGGAAATGGTACCATCCAAGTGGCTTTACTCTTCCAACTTGCTGTCCACACTCCAAACTGTGAACATTTTTATTTTGTTCTCTGGCCTAGCACTAGAGAGTAAGGAAAACACAGAAAAATAAAAGCAGTTGAGAGGAGGCAGGATAAATATTTTTTAAATTCTGTTTGGGTCACTAAGCATTTATTAATCATCTTGCTGTGTGTGTTAAAGAGAAAATATTTAAATGACACTAGTTAAAGCATGCTAAGGAAAACTTTATTCAAGGTGAAGGGCACTATTGGAGTACGTATAGGGACCACTTTGATGGACTTTCGCAGTATAGGAGAAAGTTCGGGTTCAATTCCGAATACAACATGGGCAACTGGGAATTTATAGCCAAGGAGCAGGGTTGGGATCAGTGGATGGAAAATTACTGAGAAAAAATATCATGGATAAGGGGGGATTCTGGCTATCTGACTTAACAGGATTTTTGCTGAACACAGGCCAGGTGATCAGACATCACCTTGGGGCATGGTGGAGAATGAGGAACCAGATCAGATGTGGAGGGTGATCAGATATATCAAGACTGAGGGTTCTGGCTAAACTGTAGGCTCTTGCTAAAACCAGGGATTTTAACAAGGAAGTACACAGATGGGTTTAGAGGTAGTTTCGGGAGCCTCACTAAAATTTGGTTAAACAAAGAATCTTTGTCATACATGTCAATTATTGACACGATATTTGACACGATAATTCTGTGTTAACAAAGATCAGTGGCTGATACTAAATATTAATTAGGTCTCAAAAGATTATGGGCGGTGATTTAGGTTGACTGGCTGCTCTGTCCCTGCTAAGATCTCTCAATAGGATTTGAGGCCTTAGTAACTATGGAGGGTGAACTTCAGGAAGAAGTCACATTTAACTTTGAATACTTGAACATGGTCAAGTTCTTGTTACTTGAACTGAGAAGGTGGCTGTTAATAAAAAATTTGGGGTGTATGGTAGCATAAATTAGAGAATTTACTATAACTAACCTTGATCTTTTGCTTTTATTTAGCAAAAATCAGAAGTTGTTAAAAATGCACAGTTTTACAATGTCAGTAACTCAAACTAAGGTTAAACTATTTTTTATATGCAACTGAAAATTATGAAGGATCTACTCAAAGCAGAGGATCAACTAACATTTGCTTCTTCCATAATCCCTTAACACTCGGGTGTTTTTTCTTAAGTCATTTTTGATGTCATCAGTTGGTGAGAACATCCAAGGACCACCGTATTTTAGACCTGAAACCATTTAGGCCAACTCTCATTAATAAAGGAAGAAAATCTTGTAACCAGCCTGAGCAACATGGTGAGACCCCCATCTCTACAAAAAATATAAAAATTAGCTGAACATGGTGGTGTACACCTGTACTCCCAGCTACTTGGGAGGCTGAGGCAGAAGGATCACTTGAGCCCAGGAGTTTGAGGTTTCATTGAGCTATGATGATGCCACTGTACTCCAGCCTGGGTGACAGAGAGATCCTGTCTCTAAATAAATAAAGGAAGAAAGGAAGGAAGGAGCAAAGGAAGGAGGGAAGGAAAAACTTCTATAAAAGTAAAACTTCTATAAAAGTTCTATAAAACTTCTATAGAGTTATTCTAAGTCATGTGACAAAGTAGATGGGAGCACAAAAGTAAAACCCTAGACCCTTGGCTCTTATTCTAGTGGTTTCCCAAGTGGTTTGGTTTTGGTGTTGGCTTTGCAAGGAAAACAATGGAGAACTTGACTAAAGTTGGAAAGTATTAGGGATAGCAATAGCATTTGCATAGTGCATAATGTTCGTAAAGCACTTTCAGGTAATTTATGATTGAAATGAATAGCTGAGAGAATCTAATATAATAGTTAAGTATTCTAGCTTTTTTGCCCTCTCCTTTTGAAAAAAGAAATTAGAAGGTTCTTCCTCATGGAATTGTTGTTGCAAGTGGTAAATATGTTACTACAATTAATCACTTAGATTAGTGTCTGGCATACATTAATTGTTTGTTTATTTGTATTTTATTGTTAATAATACCATTAATTATTATTCGTTGTTGTTTGGCTCTGCTTCACAGACTATATATATCATAGACTGATGGAGAAAATTCTATTGTCCTATTTTGTTGAGGGAGGAGGAAAAGATGCAAAAAATTTAGTCCTCAGAGTGCTCCCTGTCTGAGATTAGGAATCTCAGCCTCTGAGCCAGTGTTACAAAAAGGCGGCCGAGCCATTTTGACTTATTTTCCCATTTACTGTTTGTCAACAACTAGAAATAGAAATCTTGAAAAGAGGTCATTTTTTTCTTTTTTTCCAACCACTGTTCTTCTTACCACGCTAGGCTTTCATTGCTTTGGGATGCTACATTTTAAGAGTCAATTATTGGGTGCCCTCAGCTTAACTTCTTGAGGAAATGGAATTTCTCCAAGAATTTCTAAACCAGGGGACACCTTATAAATATAACTCACTGAAATAACCACGATAGCATGCTTTCAGTGGAACAAATACGGGGAATATACCTAAGTTTAACATTGAAAAAAAAATCCTAAACTCTGTGCTTTGTTGTTCTATAGAAAGGGAGACCACTTCTAATTTTTCCACCATGTTAAAATAAATAAGCAGCACTGGGAACTTGAGAAATAAGAAATGAAGGTTACAAAAGCAGACCATCCCAGGAAGTACTTTTTTTTTTCATTCAGATGTATTGCAGCTCCGGCCCTGCCCAGCACCTTTTCCTGTCCACCCTGTCATTCTTTCTCTTTGTCTTCCTGCTACTGTTTATCTCACATCCTGTAAAGGGATAGCAGAAATATCCAGAGCTGGTCTTGGTTGAGTTGGCCTGAAAGTGATAGTCACCGTAGAGGCAGAGCTGAGAAGGATGCTTAGAAGTGCTTTCCTCTTTTGGGACCACAGACCCAGTTGACATTGAAGACCAAAGCCAAAGACTTTGCCCCAGAAAATTATACTGATGCAAACATACACAAAATCTTGTGTACAATGTCAGGAAGTGGTGGGCTCTCTGCAGCCCATTTTGGGACAGTAGTGTGCACCTGTGTTGTTGAGAGCCAACAGCACCTCTGGCCTTCCTCCTTGCCTGCTGTCTTTTGGGAACTAACGGAGAAGAAAGGGATTTAAATGCAGTGCTTGAGCATGGATCCAGTCCAGAGCTTGCTATAAACCAACTCTCTTTTGTGTTGTGTGGGCTCCTCATTTTTTTCTACTCATTAAATACTCGAATGGCCAGATCTGAGAATGGGCCACTTCCATAGCTCTTTATGAACCAGGAAGAGGAAAATAGAAGTGGCAAGGAAGAGTAAGGCTCTCACCTCCTTACATTGCCATTTGTTACAAAACAGAGGTCCCCTGTGTATTATTTTGTAAGCAGTCCTCAAGAGGCACTTTTCTTTGTGAGATACTAACCCATTCAGTTCCTACAAAAGGATTTCTCTTTTTACAGAACATTCCCCTTGTGGAAAGAGATCGCATGCAAATTTTAATGCACATTTTAAGAGATGCTGGGGGGGGAGGGAACCCTTTGAAGAAAAATTGTATTGAAGAGAGTAAAAGAAAAAGAAATGAAAAGGGATGGGGAAATAAGGATGAGGTAGGAGATGCTTGCTGGCTTATGTGATTTGATTCGACATTTTTCCTCCACTGTGTGTTTTCAATGTAGAATTTTGCATGTAGGTGAAAATGACCGATGACATACTTTATGTTTTCGGTTGGGGCTTGTTAGTTAATAGCTCCTCTTGTTTCCCTTTCATCATCTTTATTAAAGCCAGCCATCCACATGTCTTATGAGTAGATATCTAGAGCTCCCACTTTGTGCAAGTGAGTGAGCTGTGGCAGATGCAGGGCCCATGCAAGTTCCTGCCCCTCTAGCAGTTGATGTTCTTGTAACCTACTTTGGTACCAAGATCATAGGCAGGTGAGAATATTATTCGTTTTACATGAGTGACCTCTAATTCTCATGCTCACCAACTTTGTTACCTTGGAAAAATCACTTAACCTTATGCAACCTTGGTATCCTCCTTATTTTAGAAGTAAGAGATTCGTGGGATATTTTATGGGTAGAACGTATTGTACACCTCAAATTCCATTAAGTAGGTAAACAAACTCTTGGTTTATTTAAGATCATCCTGTGACCAGTGTAACCATGTAGTTGTCAGAATGACTGGGTTATCTGGGATTAGATGGCATAGTAATATTTATAGCCAACAGTGCTAGGTCCTGCTCCATAGGTTATCTCATTTATTCCTCTCAACTTTCCTGTGAGGTAGATCTCTTATTACACCTCTTTTGTGCAAAATAGTCATGCAAGAGGTTAAGAAACTTGCCTGAGGTCTCCCAGGCTGTAGGAAGCAGAGCCGGGGATCGGAATCCCAGGTGTTCTGGTTCCAGAGGTTAGTTAGCTTTGGTCCTTTGCACCCTTTTTCAGAACTGCAGCATCTTCACATTGAAAGGAGAAATGTTATGTCTGGTAGACTCTTACACTTATTTAAGATTTTTTTCCTTTCCTGTTTCAGGTATCTGACAGCAAGCAGCAATAGAAATTTCCTGCTTACCATGAGACCATTTTTAAAAAGGGCCGTTTTAGTCATAAGTTATGTAAGTATATATATACTTTTGAAATATCTTGTAAGGAATATTTTTCATTTTGATTTGGCACAGAGACACAATCCAGATTATTTAATAGAATTAGCAATAGATTCTAATAACATGATCGTAGCATCAAAGAGTTTACAAAGCGTTGAAAGGTACATATGAAAGCATTCTGGATATATGTGAACTTGATGACATAGACATGTGAACCATAGTATTCTACAAACCCCCTTTCCAGGTGCTGAGGCCGAGCTGTCTCAAGAGGGAGCAGTGCAAACCTGCCTATTATCAGTTATCTATTGTCACGTAACAAAACACCCCAAAATGTAGAGACTTAAATACAACCACCATACATTTGCCCTAAATGCTTCAGTTTGGACAGCGTTCAGCTGGATGGTTCTTCTGAGCATTGTGATTTTTGGGCTGAGATTATTCAGTCAAGTGTATTCAGCTGTCACTTGGGCTAGGTCACCTCTGTTCTCCTCCACAAGGTCTCTCCCTCTGATGTGCCATCCTCTAGGGCCTCTCCCTGTGGCTTCTCTCTCTAGGGCAGCTAGGACTTCCTTGCAGTATGGCAGCTGGGTTCCGATAGAACAGACCAGAAGCTGTAGGACCTCTCAGGGGTTAGGCCCTGAACTGACACAGTGCACCTTCTACCACATTCTTTTGGCCAGTACAAGTCATAAGACTAACCTGGATTTAAGGGGAGGGGACAATCGACTCCATTTTCTGGTAGAAGGAACTGAACGCACATACAAGGAGGGTAGAAGTTATTGGCGCATGACTCACCAAATCTTCTCGTTCTCCGCAGGTGATTGTTGTTTTGTACTTCCGCCTGTGGATAATGGGAGGATCTATGCCCCTCTTCTCAGAGCAGGATAACCCAGCTTCATTTTCGCCTTACCTTCTTACAAGGTCAGTGGAAATAAGTTTTATAAACTTCACCTGATATTTATTAGATAGTTTTCAACAACACTCAATCATAGGTTGACTTTGCATTTTGAGGAGAGAAAGATTGCATTCTATCCAGCATGTGGGGAGAAATGAAACTACTATTCATACCTTTGGAATTCTTTTGCACAGGTGAGGTTGTTTTGGCATTATTATTGCTATTGTCCTTATGTGGTGTCTATTGGTTTGTCCAGCAGGTATTTATTGGGCACTGTCTTGGTTCGTGTTGCTCTAAAGGAATACCTGTGACTGCATAATTTATAAAGAAAAAAGGTTTATTTGGCACACTACTCTGGGCATCTGGTGAGAGCCTCAGGCTGCTCCACTCTTGGTGGGAGGCATAGGAGAGGCAGTGTGTGCAGAGATCACATGGTGAGAGAGGAGGAAGGAGACAGAGAGAGGGGAGGTGCCAGGTTGTTTTTAACAACCAGCTCTAGTGGGAGCTAATGGAGTGAGAACTCACCCCAGCAGGGGGACATGCATGTAATCACAAGGAATCTGCCTCCCACACCCAGACACTTCCCTCTAGACGCCCCCTCCTAACACCACCACATTGGGGGTTAAATTTCCATATGAGATTTTGTGGGGACAAACAAACCATAATAAATATCTATGGAGTGGTCCATATGGCAAATGTTATAGAACAATGTGCAGAGAGACACAGACAGAGAGGTGTGTAGAGGTTGACTGGACATCATAACCTTTTGTAAGATTAAAATCAGTGGGGTGGTTAATGTAACAGACAGAAATGAACAACAGATTTTGCTAATATATAGCTAATTGTGTCTTGCCATTTGTCCCCAAGAGTCCCGGAGGTATTGCATCAAGATATGATAGTGATTGATGTATCTAATTCATTGAGAAGGTTTCTGATTTCTTATCTGTTCAATCTGCTGTGATGTACACTTAAGGCTTTCAGATAATAGTATATTTGACAATTTTAATAACTTTTCTTCAGAATATATCATAGCTATAGAGTTTTAAGAAGGTACAGCGTTCTTAAATTTTCATGGTTTTACATACCTCTTAATGTTATCAAATATTTTCATCATAGTAACCTTTGCCTTTTTCTGTATTTGCAAAACCATGGTAAATCTTAAACCTTGATCTATAGTGCATTTATATTTTGATTTACTTGTGTCTCTTAGGGATAACAGATTGTTGATTTTATTTTCATACCAGGCAATGATCTTTGCTTTACATCACTCGTTTAGCTTCTAGCTTCAATTTACTTTGCCTTTTATGTTCTTCTTTATTGGTTCTAGTCTTCTTTTCTTTTTCTTTAGTCTCTTTATTTCCCATTCAAAAAGGATACCTTCCAATTGGATTAACACCTTTTTATAACAAAAACTATGTCACAGTTGTTTTCAGTACTTCCAACATATATTTATATTGAACCAATCTTGAATATACTTTCAGAAATAATGTGATATCCAACCTTTAGTGTTGGCTTACTCCTTGGCAGTCCAGAGCCTTTAAAAATTGTTGTTTATATCTGATGTTTCCCAAATAGTTGTTTAATAAATCCCTTAATGAAGCTTGACATCTCTAACTGAGCTTTTTATTAATGTTACAATCTACTTGCCCTTTTTAGATATCTCTCCCTGGCTTTCAGAATCTCCAGGGTTCCTTGTCTAGCTATTTTTAGCTGTGATAGCTGACTAATAAATTGTTTCATGTTCTGTAGCTTCTTAAGTAGCTACTTCTGCCTTTAAGAGAAAAAACCAACTTTGCCAGATCATATTCTTGCGTGATGGCTCCATTTGCTTTAGCTTTGAGTTGGTTTTGCTCCATAACTTCTTGTCTCCTGAATTTGAACATTCATTCTAATCTTTATAGTTAGATGAAGCCTGTTTGCTGAGATTACCAGTCTCCAAAAGCCAACACATACAGTTAAAAGAGATAGATGAAGGCGAACAAGAACACACTGCTGTCAACTCAACCAACCAATTTTGTCATTCATATCTTATGGTGTAAATACACAAATGCCTGTCTGAAGGCCATTGGTGTTAGCACAAGGTGCCTTTGATCTGACTCACTGCCCTTATAGCTATAACATCTTAGCTGCCAAGGATATTATAATAGATCACATTTGTTTCCCTGCTGGTGGCCAGAAAAATTCTTTGATGGGAACTTTGGCAAAATTAAGGGTCTGATACATATTTAGTCCAGGACTTTGTCTATTAATCAATCCATCCAAGTGACTATAACTCAGGCAATTCACTTAATAAAAAGCAATGGAATAGAATATCCTATTACCCACACCTTTATATTCTTCTTCTCCATTCCTTTAAAAAAAAAAAAAAAACAACATCTTTGTGTTCTTGTGTTTCAAACTTAAAATACACAGATACCCAGGGACATTTCAGTGACAGTTGTTATGAATGGCTTTTCACATGCTCTAAGATAACCTACATTAGAATTGACTCTTTCGAGCATCTAGAAATTGTTTTTAATTCCTTTCCTGAATAAGGTTTCTACCCTGTTTACATAATTCTTTGGCCTCTGGTAGGCTGATGATTCTTGAAGTGGATTACCTTGATCAATTTCCTAGTTCTTTTGGTTTTTCTTTCCTTCTCAGATGTGCAGTTTAGCTGGGATTTGGCTGGCTCTGTGACTGTGTCGTCGTTACAAATCACAGGCTTGTCATTTGGCTGTGTCAGTCTGTCTCACGAATGCTTCACCTCCTTTACTGGATTTATAAACTTCGCACATTGTTCAGTAACGTCTCTGCTTCTATCTTTTGCTTCTGCTTCTTTTAAAGTAGGCATAATGAATTACTCTATTACCAGGTGAGAATCTTAAGACTAGCTTTCTTTCCATTTAGTAGTTGTTGTAGTTTTAATTACACGTTACGCAAACCCTAATAGTGTTTAAGAGTAGCTTGTTCAAGCTTCCTTTTATCTCAAATGATTTCTTGTGATTTTAGTTGTGAGATTCCCTCTCTTTTAAATTTTCTATTTCCATGTGTTTAGCTCAGAAGAAATACCCTGTCATTTTCTGCTTAACTAAACTGAGATGCAAAATCGTTGTGTTATGCTCAAGAGAAACCTTTGTTAAGCAAAATTTCTAAGACATGGGAACAAGACAAAGGGTGACTACGTGACCTTCACTGTAATGTAGAACATTGTCTGACAAACCTGGAGGGATGCAACATTGGTAGGCTTATTATTTGCTATTTACTATATTTTACAACACTGTCATCTTAGAATTTAACATAGAGAAACCTGATAGTTGTGATGGTTTCTTTTCTCTGTAATAGAAAAATAAAACTTCAAACATAACGGTTTTATTGCCTTCCAGCACATTGAAAAAATGTGTACCTCATTTGCCAAGCTCATTCCTTTTTCTTTTTTCATGCACTATGAAAATCCCAGTTTTCGAATTCAGTTTTTATATGTATATATTATTTTTTATATATTCAGTTTATATGTACTTTAATAATAGCTTTATTGACATAATTTGCATTCCATACAATTCACCTATTACAGTGTACAATTCAGTGGTTTTTAGTATACTCACAGAGTCGTGCAGCCATTACCACAATCGATTTTAGAATGTTTTCATCGCCCCAAAAAGACATTCTGTATCCATTAGCAGTTATTCCCCATTTCACTTCAGTCCCCCCGCCCTAGGCAACCACTAGTCTACTTTCTGTCTTTGTAGATTTACCTATTCGGAACCTGTCATATAAATGAGATCATTTAATATGTTTTTCTTTTGTGTGACTGGATTCTTTCACTTAGCATGTTTTCAGGGTTCATCCATGTTGTAGCTTACAGCAATACCTCATTTCTTTTTATTCCCCAATAAAAATTGTTCCATTATATGGATATAGCATACATTTTATTTTTCCATAAAAGTGGACATTTTGGTTGTTTTCTCTTTTTTGGCTGTTATGAATAATGCCGCTATGAACAAGTGTTTGTGTGGATGTATGTTTTCAATTCCCTTGAGTACCTAGTACCCAGGAGTGGAATTGCTACATTAATTCAATGTTTAACTTTTTGAGGAATGTCAGTATGTTTACCAAAGCAGTTGCACCAATTTACATTCCTACCAGCAGTGTATGAATGTTTTAGTTTCTTCACATCCTCACCAACACCTGTGTTTTTGACAGTCTGTTTTTTTTTTTTCTATAGCCATACTAATGTGTGTGAAATGGTATCTCATGATGGTTTTGATTTATAGTTCACTAATGGCTAATGATGATGAGTATCTTTTTATGTGCATATTGGCCATTTTGCTATCCTCTTTAGAGAAATGTCTGTTCAGGTCCTTTGTTCACTTTTTAATTGGATTATTTGTCTTTTTATTACTGAATTGTAACAGTTCTCTTTGTATTTTCCAGATACACATCCCTTATCACACTTTTGATTTATAAACATTTTCTTCCTTTTATATGTTGTCATTTTACTTTCTTGATGATGTCCTTTGAATCACAAAAGTTTTTTATTTTGATGAAGCCCAGTTTATCCATTTTTTGTTGTTGCTTGTGCTTTCAATGTGAAATCTAAGAAGGCTTTGCCTAACTCAAATTCTCTTTTGAGCTGTCTTTGTCAAATATCTGCTTCCCATATTAATGAGTTATACAAACCTTTAGTTTTCCCACTGTGTATTTTTGTGAGGGTTATGTTTTCAATATTTTTAAAATTGTACTTCGATATAGTTTATGTTAATAGCGATTTGGAAGCCATTTAGAATTTGACTTCTTATTCTTGACCATTGGGTATGTCAAGCCACAAGGTATTATAGATTCGTCACAGAATTGGAACTCATTGTTATTCAAGATACGCTGGTGACAAGGCCCTTAAACTTTTACCTTTCCATTTTAACCCAGATATTCAGGTTGTATTAGCTGTCAGTCAATTCTTTGTGACCGATCTATAACTTTTCTAACCTGTAATTAATTGAGACTGTGTGGATCAATTGAATGGCATGACACTGAATTGTAAATGATTCTA